ATCAGTGCAGCTAGGGAAAAATCAACTGCATCGATTGCGCAAAAATGCGCCATTGTAAAATCGGAGCCGAATTATTCGAATTAGGTGGCATTTTATGCAAAACCCAAGAATATCTGCTTCCCATTCGACTAGCCGATCTCTCTTCCGATTAGCTCTCATGAGGCCTTTCAGATCCAGAGATTCCAGTGTTGTATCTGTGCAAATAAGACTAATAAAAAGCGCATTTTTCTGATGGTTTTTTGCAGGCCCGTTCGCTGGCTCTTCCGCACCGGACAGTGCACGATCAAATCTGGCAGCTGCATTTGTCAATGGTTTTGTGAACAGTGGATTTGGAGTGGACAAAATGATGGCAGAGGCTGAAGATGCCAGCCGATGGTTCTATAAAAATAAAGAATATGGTAGGGCTTTTTGGCTCGTTTGAAATAGAAGAATAGAAGGATTTCACTCGAATGTCATGTATATGAAGACATTTTATGGCGCAGTCTGTGTGTTTCATCCCTTAGCTGTATACACAGACCGAACAGTGCATGCGGGTAGTAGTGAGAATCATCAGTACAGCCTCCTACTCCGCCATGTTTTGAATAGTAATGTGTCTAATTTGCAAAGCGGATGACAGGAAGAAATAGATATGAGTGAAGGAGCAAACAAAGTGGGAAAGGAAGTAAAGAAGAGAAATTAAATCGTGAAAGAGCAAACGGAAAGGAAGGGAAGTAGGGAATTTAAAGCACAGATACGAATAATTGAAGTTTTTTTTGATAGCGAGAACAAGAACTGGCTCTTACTTTGATTTTGTTTTTTACAGGAATGCTATCAGCAGCAGCAAGCCAAGGATTAGTTTGGCGATGGGATATCGATTCGGGCCTGTCACAGTGCGATCGTTTCCTCTATGTTAATGATGATTATATCAAAGTAATTTTTCTTTTGAGCTACTACAAAGTACAGTCAAAATGTATGTTGCTTCTGGTACCGCGTATGAATGTGTCGATGAAGGGGAAGGAGCCACTGTGGGTGCTAGCCTGAGCCAGAGACAAAAGCTAGTTTATTGTATGAGACACTGACACTGAACAGGATGAGTAATCGACGTGATTCATCAGAAATGGTATGAATTTATTGCGTGATGAAAGTCACTTAGAGACGGTAGACATGGACGAATGATGCTGAAGATATACGCAGACTTTGATTCGTCGAATCGCCCATTTTATGTAATGATATTTCTGTGGTAGATACACATACTACAATCTCCGATACAACCTTCATCCAGTATTCCAGAATGGATTCCATGGGAACCAGGGATGAATTTCACCGTCTTAGATTCAGTCTACGATGGGGAAATTGATAAGGGGAAAAGTTAACAGGGAACGGAAAGTGAGTCTCTGTCAAAGGTTCGATCTGCGATAAGAACGTCGCTTCTCGCCTCTTGTCATCGAAAGATGGCTCAACCTTTATTTTATTTTTGCATTTATAATTCTGATTGGGAGTGAAAGGCAAAAGCTTCGCTTTTACAACATATGGAGAAGGTGATAGAAAAAGAGGTAGTCCGACAGACGGTTTCAGCATGAATAAATAGCAGCGCGCACCAGACTAGCCGGTGCGATCATGCGTTTTGTGCAGTTCAGCCCATTGAACCATTGCCTATTAATGATTTTCACCGCTTTGTACTTTAGTCTATGTAAAAATAGTTCAAACATTGGAAAACA